CTATGAGCCAGTTTGGGCTATTGGAACTGGTAAAACTGCAACTCCCCAACAGGTATGAGCAGGGGAAGGGTGGCTGATTTGTTGCCAACTGACCCTTCCCACTCAAGAAATCTTCCTGGGGATTCTTAGTGACAATTTTCTGGAGATACTTAGCAATTTAGAGAATTTTAGACGTAAGGATTTAGATATTATCTAACGGTTCCCTTCTCTTTGGAAGGGAATTGTGTGCAGAATGGCTCAGCCCTCAGTGGGACTTTCGTGTTCTATTGCAGGCTCAGGAAGTTCACGAGAAGCTGCGGGGGTGGCTGAAAAGCCACGTGTCTGATGCTGTTGCTCAGTCAACTAGGATTATCTATGGCGGTGAGTCTGAAGCCACTTTCCAGGGCAGGAAAGTGCTTAGTTTCTCTGCCTGTTGCTGTAGTTGTACATCATGCTCTGCTGAGTGAGGAAACTTGAGACTGTCAGAGCATGAAGAGCCACCTACTAGCTTGTTTGTTAGCTTACTTGGGTAAATGGGAGACAGTCTTGCTGTCTGCAAGAGGTGGCTGGTACCTTGCAGGTCTTGCCTTTGTCCTGGCCCCATTTTCCTAGAGCTGGCTGCACCTGACCCTAAAACACTGCTCCATTTTTAGGTTCAGTCACTGGTAGCAACTGTAAGGAGCTGGCCTCTCAGCATGATGTGGATGGCTTCCTTGTTGGTGGAGCTTCTCTCAAGCCAGAGTTTGTGGATATTATCAATGCCAAACACTGAAGCACCTGTGAGGAGCAGTCCCTTGTGGTTAAGAAATGGAAACAAGAAGGGACCTTTCATTGCACATCTCTCAGTACAGAGGCCTCCTCCAAGGCTTTCCCCCTCCACGGTCGTTGTTCTAGTTGTTCTGCTAACCACCCCCACCATGTTGGAGTCCTGTTAGTGGGAGCCTGTCTCAGCAAAGTCTTGACAGCCTCCTCTCTGAATTGGCAGAATCCTCAGTTGCCTGTTGACCTGTTAAGAGCCCACAGCCCACCTGGCCAGTATCTCCCCCTTTCCCTGCAGTACTGCAGTGGGAGGGGACCACTGGTGCTGGGGGAAGGAACCACACAGTCTGCATCCTTCAGCTCCATCAGCAAGGAGCCTGTCAGCTTAGACCCTTGTGAGATGTCTTACCTCACCTGTGTCCCGTACTGAACAATAAAGGAAAAACTGAAAAAGCAAGGGTGTGTCTCGGATCTTATTTGGAAGCAGCTGGGGACAGGCAGCATACAGAACCTGGTGCTTTTGGAGGTGGCTTGTTGCAGAGAGGGTAGTGTGGTTTTTGTAGGCTCTTCCTTGAGGGCCCACCGTTGCCCCAGTAGGCATTGCACAGGTTTCAGCCTGCATCTGGCTTGTCATGTAACAGCTCTTCTTTGGGCCTGTGATGATTTGACTCTATCTTTTCCATCAGTGTCTCTATTCCAGTAGTTGCTGGAGCACCTGGCTGTCCCACTAGTGAGCTGGTCTTTCCAGGCAGGCTCCGTAATGTGCTCATCCCTATGCTCTGCCTGTGAGGATTGGTAATTGACTGCTCATTAAATGTGGAGTGAGCAGCTCCCTCCCTGTGCAGGGAAGGATTTTAGGCTGTGTGTTGAGGCTGTGCTTGCTGCCTGCTCTCAGCTGCATGCAGGTGGGCGAGGACACAAGACTAGATGTTACTTCCCAGCTGCTGATTTTTTTCAGTAGTACTAAGGGTGACGAAAAAGGAAGTGCCTCACAAGGAGGAGCTTAGCTATGAGGTGGCATATCCTTGGGAGTCTAGGGGCAGCGTTCCAGCTGCAAGTGCCAGCATCACCTGAGGGATGAGAGGCAGGAGCTGAAGACCGAGGAGAAAGCCTAATGCTGTGAGGGCTTCTACCTAGATGCTGCTGGGGGGGGGAATTCCTGCTGCCCAGCTGGAGCGGATGGGAAAGAAAAAGCTCTCAGCCCTTCAGAGGCATCTCCTTCCCAGGTGGGAGCAGAGCTGCTGCCACAGCTTCTTGTGGAAGGAGAGACAGGCTAAAATGGCGCTGAAACTGGTGGGTGGCAGTGGGATAAGCACTGTTGGGAAGCTCTGTCTAGTGAGAGCAAGGTCATCTGACATGGAAGGATGTCAGATGGTCTAAGAAAGAAGAGCCTGACAGCAGCAAGGAGGGAGGTGGCAGCTCCCAGCTCCAGGTGCGTATGGAGTGACGTGGGGAGGAGGAGGATAATTCAAAGGCGAAAAAAATTCTGAAAGCTGTATTGTCTACGACCAGAGCATGTGTTTCTGAGAGGCTGCTGGGCCATGGCTGCAATTTGGTGTCACAGTGTACTGGGGTCATCATGGCCAGAGCAGTGGTGATGCAGCAGGAACATGCAGGGGGCCTAAGGCTGCTGGGAGTGGGTAGAATCATTCACAGGGATTGGCTGCTGGCTGCAGCTCTACTGTCAGTTCCTGCTCCTGCCCAGTCCTGCCCACAGCACAAGAGCCCAGGAGAGTGACCTACATAGAAAAAAAACAGATGGGAGCTGAGCATTGATCTTGGCTGCTTTGAGGAGAACATGGAGGCATGAAAGCATTCATTTAACGAGGAATAAACTCAAGGAAAATCATTTCTGTATCAGCAGGAGTGCCAGATCTTGTTTTTCTTCTGTTTTGTCTGCTTTCTGGCAGGACTGCAGCTCTAGGGACTGGAAATAGTGCCAGATTCTCCCTGCACACTGTAGTGGTTGAATCTTAAACAGGTTGCTGTTGGAGGAAAATGCATTGTGTCAGATGGAACAGTCCAAGAGAGGCTGTGGTGGCTCCATGTCCTCAGCCCCAAACAATAGCCAGGCTGCGCTTGTATTTCCAGTAGGCACCACTCACACACACAGAAGGTCCTTGTGGGTCCCTTCCAACTAAGAATATTCTGTGATTCTGAATACACATCACTTAACCATATAACCATGGATAGCCACACAGATTACACAACCAGCCACACAGAGCACTCACACACAGTGCCAGCAGCCTCATGCCACCCCATGTTCTGGCTGAGCAGGATGGAAGTACACTCATGTGCACCCATGTATATATGTGTATTTATATATGTATATACGCACACATGTACAGTGTGTCCATCCAGCAGCTGGGCTCAGGCAGTGTCCAGCAGCTGCCCCCCCCCATCCCAATCTCTCCAGTCTTTCTGGTCCCCCAGTAGTCAACTCCCTGGCCCCAAGTCCCTCACCCCGGGCAAATTGTGAATGGAGTTTAATGAGAAGATGGGACAGGCTGCACTAATCAGGTGCAGGGAATGGCCAAACCATCACAAACCATTTACACAGGACTGGCCCTTTTTATTTCTGTATCTCACACTTGTTTCCCCACAAGTCATCTAGATCCCTCCCTTTCCTGCCTTTGGTTCCTGCCGTAAACACCTCCTAATGAGTACCATGCAATACCCAAACTCTCTTCCCCTGCATCCCATCCTGTGTCTCACACCCCTGAGCACAGTGACATCCCAATCCTAAAGGTGCTCTGGGGGTCAGGATCCCCTGGGACAGCCATGGGAGGGGGTCAGACAGGATGTCCTTTTCTATGAGTCCTTAATTTGGGCTCCTATCTGCCATTGTGTCCCTGTGCTCATCAAGATGGGCCTCTGGTGGGCTGATGGCCACTGGGATGTGCCTGGAAGCAGCCCAGCAGGGTGCTGCTTGGACTCCCCCTCCTGCCATCATTACCCTGTGCTGGTTTGTGGGTATGCAAACCAGCTTTTAGCATATAACCTCCCTAATGATCAGTATAGTTAGGTTTGGGATCCTTCTTTTCATACGTATATAACCTAAATAAAATTTCTCTCTTTTAAAGATTTGGCTTTCCTCCTGTAATTGGGGGATATTTAGGGCAGGAATCAAAGGCAGGAAAGGAAAAGTTCATGTGCAGGTTAATTCTTTACTGTGAGGGTGGTGAGGCACTGGAACAGGTTGCTCAGAGGAGCCATGGATGCCCAATCCGTGGAGGTCTTCAAGACCAGGTTGGATGGGACCCTCAGCAACCTGGTCTAGTGAGTGCCATCCCTGCCCATGGCAGGGGGGGTTGGAACTAGGTACCTTTAAGGTTCCTTCCAACCCAAACCATTCTGCAATTTTACAATAATGAGCAGGGACTGAATTCAGATGGGGCAAATGTAGCACAGGAGAAGGAGCTGGCACCAGGGTGTCCAGAGGGAAACTGGATGGTCCAGCGGGACAGAGATGGCAGCTTGGCATGCAGCCCTCAGCACAGACAAGTGTGTAGCAGGAGGGGTGATGGCTGGCACACTCCTGTCTGACATCCAGCTCCACTTGGACCGGGTTATCTAACACTGGCGCTTCCCGGGGCCTGCAGAGGAGCGAAGTCCACTGGAGGGAAAGGGAGCAGGGCCTTGGACTTTGTATTGACTGCAAATCACTGGTGACCGTCAGCTCTGAGTAGTGTTCCCAGCTGGTAAACACCCGGCTCTTGCAGGCACTGTTGGCATTGACTGGGCATAGGCAGCCTCACCCCTTCCCATCTCCACAGCCTGGAGCAGAGGGCTGGAGCGGTGGACCCCAAAAGCTCCTTCCTGGATCCAGACAGTTATGTCTGGGGAGGTTTCATTAAGACCCCGAGCCCAATTCTACTCAACATGTTAATTAAACATTTACTGGAGGGAATGTCTTTCCTCAGGACATTCACTGCCTGAGTGACCATCACCCTCTGCAGCCCAGCCTGACTGTGAAGCTGGCTCCATTTTTTGAGCTGGGGTGCACGCAGGATGGCCTCCAGCGGTCCCTTCCCACCAAAATAATCCTTCAGTTCTCTGGATACGCCAACAATTGCAGATTGTTCCCACACACCTGGGAAGGCGGAGTGGGATTAGCAAAGTGCTTCTGATGACGGCGGGACACGCTCTGAGCTTTCCATGTGGCAGTGACTACCCAAAGAACACCGTGCCCCGGGAAGCCGCGAGCCCACCCCGGCGGCGGCTCCGCGCCGCTCCCGGGAAGCCGTGCCCACCCCCGGTTCCCATGGCAGCGGGAGCCGCGGCCCGCGCCGCCGGGCCTCTGGGAGCAGCCTCCGCGGGAAGAGGGGACAGGGTTCTGTCCTGGGAGGATGGAGGACGACGAGCAGGAGGGGGACGAGCACAGCCCTGAGAAGGAGGAGGAAGAGGGGGAGAAGGAGGACGACGAGCAGGAGAAAGAGAAGGAGGAGGGGGAGGAAGAGGAGAAGGAGGAAGAGGTGAGGGGGGGGCCCTCAGCACCGCCTGGCTGTGCGTAGGCCAGCGCTGGTGTTGTGCTCTCTCCTCCCAGGTGCCGGCTCCCTGTCCTCTGACGGAGGAAGTCCTGAAGGAGGGCCTGTCTCTCCTCAGTAAGACGGGCAACGGGCTGGCCCACACCTACGTGAAGTTTGAAGCCAAAGGAAAGTGAGTGTGCAGCACCTGCCCCGGCAGAAGCTCCACGGCCACCCCCAGCCATGGAGCAGCTGTGCCATAAACTGGTGACGGGCCATGCGGGGCAGCAGTGTTTCCAGGCACTGCTCTCCAGCCGCCTGACTTCGAGTCTGTGCCTTAGCACAGCCTGTCCATCCTCAGCCCTGAGGTGGGCACAACCTCCACCACAGCCAGACGCACTAGTGGGACATCAGTGTCTCTAAGGATTGAGGGGAGCCTGCCTGTCGCTCTGGACTGTGGTCTCCTAGGGGAGCCTGAACCGGGTGACCTCCCTACAGGCACTTTGAGAAAATCCCCTAACATCTGTCCCATTAACTGCTAACATTTAATGTTAGCATTTTATTACTTACAATGCAGTTGTAAGTACAGTGCCACAGTGGTCTCTGGATCAGCACACCCACATTACCCTGGACCTAAGAGGCCTCAGTAAGACTGTTTCTTTCAGCAGCCTCATACATATCTCAACCACCATTTTTCCCACTAGGAAAGTCCTTACAGACAGTTGCTGTCTAACAGACCCCTCCCCAAAACTTACCCTCTTTTCTGCTCTGGTTCTGCCCTCTCCTGACAGATACATTTCAATGGGAATAAGTACTCCCTCTGCCAGGAAAGGAGGTCAGATCTTACCATTTGTCCTTGTTTACAGACTGTTTGGCCTGTCCCTATCACCTGCCTTTTTCTTCCTTTCTCCAGCAAGGCTTTCTAGGATAGCAGGCAAGTGCAAGAGGAGGTTGCCCTCCCTCCAGTAGTCGCAAGGAGCAAACCAGAAGTTGGTGGTGGGGAAATATGAGGGATGCTTTATTCACATTCTCCCTCCCTCAGGAACTTGACAGACATCAGCCTGCTCAAAAGCTTCATTCACCTGCGGTATGTGGATTTGTCAGAGAACAAGCTGCAAGATTTGTCTCCACTGAGCAGTCTAACAGAGCTGCTTTGGCTGAAGGTGGATGGGAACCTGCTCACCAGTGCCTGCATGCAGGAGCTGTCCTATCTCCAGGTCATCAGCTTTGATCGCAACCGCATCAAGGATATGGAAGGCATTACTCATCCCCGCTTAGCCACCCTCAGCCTGAAAGGTGATACAGACCACCTCTCTTCACTCTTGTGGGGACACTTTGGGTGGGATTAACTCTCTTGTTGTTTCTTCTTCCTCTGGCACTCAGAAAATAAAATCCAGACAATGCTGGGCCTGAGTAAGGACCAGTTGTTCAGCCTGGAAGTCCTGGAGCTGCGAGGAAACAAACTAAAGACCACAGCAGGGCTCAGTCTTCCCAAGCTCAAGAAACTCTATCTGGTAAGGGATCAACCAGCTTGGGGAGTGGGACAGAGCTTCGCTGCAGAGCCTGGCACCTCCAGCCAGTGGGAGGTAGGGAGTTCAATCTTTTCAGGCTGAGGGAGCAACAGATTTCAGAGAACTAGAGAGACCAAATCACTTCTTTGGAGTAGCTCCATGTTCGCTGTGGGCCCAGATAGCGCAAAGGGAGTAGCCACTAACCACAAACTGCAGAGGAGTTGGCAACATTCAATGTGTCAAGTTCTTCCCCCATGACCTCCTGCAGGAGAGCAGTTTTCCTTTCAGGCAGTGTTAGGCAAGCTCTTATTCCAAGTGTCCTGGGACTACCAGAGATCACTGGGCAAAGCAACAGGTTTGCTCTGGGTGACACTGGGAGGTGCCTCTTTCTCCTTTCCGATGGACCTAATCAAATACTAGTTTAAACTATATGGTTCAGACCTTCAGCTGCCAAAAAAGAAAACTGATTGAACATCACAGTAAAACTTAGGTAGGAGAAGTAATTTCCTAATATCATAAACAATTGCTTCAGAGAACATTTACTACTAGAGAAGGAAGTGAAGAGAGTAAGCATGGCCTGTGTGTATGTTTGTGTATGGCTTATGTATGTACGTATGGCCATGCATCACACGGTGCTACAGCTTGCAAAGACTAGATAGATAACCTGAGTCACTACTTCTTAAAAAGCAATTAAATATTATAAAGGCTTTGAAAACCTATGTGGTTTCTTTTCATCAAGTCTTCCTGGCAGAAAACACTGAGGATATTGCTTGCTGAGATTGCCTGCAATTTTCTAGTGGAAAACTGGGATTTTAGAACTAGAGGTTCTCAAAGAATGGGTGAAGTGGATAAGTCACTAGATACAATACAGCATTTCAAAGCATAACCAGACACTTCAGTGAGTTACTGGAGGGAAGCAAACACAGCATCTGTATTTAAACAAGGTTCCTGGTATGACTGAGGGGTTTCTGAGCTGCCCAAACGAAGCGGGAAAACTGCATTGTTCTATTAAAACTAGAACAACTGACTGTCAAGAATCTTTGGGGATTGAATTTGTCTCCCATGTCCACATGCTTATTACATCCTTTTGCAGGGAAATCTCTCTCAGCAATGCTTTGCTTTCTCTATAAAGATTTTGGTGTTACTTCAGCCTTGGGTAGGTGCAGCTGATGCCTCAAAGACAGGGTTCAAGACAAAGGGTTCAGTTTAAACAAACTGAACCACATTTGGTTAATGTATGACATAGCTAGAGATGAAATTTAGTATGTAAAAAGTTTTAGGTACTAACATGAAGACTATAAGCTGGCTGTGTACCATGTGGCACTTGCAGCAGCTTGAGGGTCAAAGTAGGACTGTGTTAGCTCCTGGTCATGGTGCAGCAGCGGTGGCAAAGGCGGACTAGAGGAAGGTGAAGTGTGCAGGAAGTGGAGAGGGAATCATGGGCAACAGACTATGGTAGCTTTCCATACAAAACGGTGACATCTCGTCCATGTGAAGAACTGGAATGTAAGGTAAGGTGATGATGTGTCAAACGGAATGTAATTTGATTTAGGGGAAAAAAGAATAAAACAACCCTGAAAAATGTCCATTCTGCATTGTCCTGCTAGTGCTTGCAAGGCCAGAGCTGTTAAAACTATTCACACTGAAGTCATGAAGAAAGTGAGAGTGATGGGAGGTTACTATTCCTTTTACAAACCAGTGGTCTGTGAGCTCCCCACTCACCCCAGCTTCTAATTTCCTCTGAGATACAATGTCCTAATCCTCCCTGACTGTTAAATCTGCTCATGTGACCTTCACTAAATATCCAACTTTCCTCTTTTTGTCCATGTGTTGCTCTTTTTACTTGGCCAGCTGGTCCAGACTCTCCCTTGTCCAGTTTCCATTAAAATGCTCCTTTTCTACAAAATGTCCTTTTCCTGAGCGATCCAGCCCTAAAGTGTTCTCCTATCCCCCCAGTTCAGCCTGTGTCCCTTTATTAGCCTCAGGTATTGTCTACATCACTGCCTGGGTACCTATGAGGAACAGAAAGCACAACAGCACCTCTCTCCCGATTTCCCGTTCAGGTGTCTGTGTCCTTAGAGACTTAGAGACTGCGGCGCCGAGCCACATTAGCAAGTGAAGCCGTGCTCAGCTCCAAGCTGAGAACGTGGCGGAGAGGTGGCAGTTACGAGGGATGCTCCAAACTGGGCCGCACAAGGCGGTGAGCAGCCTGACAGATCGTTGGTGCTCTCACTGCGGGGAGCCCGCGCTTGGGCAGGAGACCTCTAGTGGCCTTTTCTAGCCGACATCTTGCTGAGAAACTATTCCTGATATTCAGACCTTTGTATTTTCCCACTTCGTTAACCCACATCACAGTAAAGAGAACGAAATTCAGTGATGGGGAATTTTAAACTTCCTGATTTAAGATTTTCAGATTTGTTTCAAGAAGGTGCACCTATGATGAATAACAACAATTTTACCTGAAAAATCTTAAAATTAAACCAACCAGCAACCTCCACCCCCCTCCTCTCTCAGGAGCACACAGCCTGCTTCTGCTACCAGAGGAGTAGAAGAGACTTCTTGGTAGTAGATTTCTCCCACTGGGGGACTGGAAGATGCCTAGACTACGTGGACTATGTGACTGAGAGGGGCTGGTTACTTATCCTTTAAATACACTCATTTTAGGCTCAGGTCTGAGCTTTCCCCTCCACACTGTTGCTCTCTGAGGCCCATATTTGGCACTGCCATGGAAAGGGGTGCTGTGCTGGCAATGGAATATTCACCTGGGGTGGTTTTGTCTCAGACACCAAGTGATGCTCCAGGAAACACTTTTTCAGCAAACTTTTGGTCCTTGAATCTGAGTGCTTAGACGAATGACCACTTGGCCAAGACCCTGAACAACCTGATATAGCTTCAGAGAAGGCTGTGTTATGAGTGGTAGAAAGTCTGAAGGGTAGAAAGAGCTTTAAAGGCCAGAAATAACTGCTGTGTGTCCCCTTTTCCCTTCTCTCTTCCTGTCTCCCTGGTGCTCAGGCCCAGACCAACATCCGCAGCCTTGAAGGCCTCGAGGGGCTTGAGCAGCTGGAGACTCTGCACCTGCGTGACAACAAGCTGGAGACCCTGGATGGATTCTTCAGTAGCATGAAGTGCCTGCAGTATATCAATCTACGGTGGGTCTTCCCTGCTCTGTGTTAGGACCAGAGATCCTTTCATCAGACTGTACTCCCGTTTAGATCTTTAGGATTTTCTGGTTTCTTTGGAAATTGAAGACCTAGTAGGGATGGGTTGATATTTACTGTTCTTAATTGACATTCAGCACTCAGTTGTTAAGGTGTGTAACAGTCAGGACCTCTCCTGGGCTTCTCAGAAAATATCTGCTTCTCCAGTCACTCTCATACTCCACCTCGTGATTTTTATTCCTTGCCATAACTCCATTGGATCCCTCAAAGCATGTTCTCTATGTCCTGTCTGCAAGTGCCCTTTAGTTCTCGGCATTTGCCATAAAGGGTGATGGAGATATCACGTGATTCAATGGACTGTCTGAGCACAGAGAAATCCAGAGAACATGTCCTGTTTGTCCCTCAGTCTGGGGAGTTGCAGGCAGATCTGGATCTTAGGTGACAGATCTGTGGTCTAAGGTCTGTGGTCCATCATGCTAAGCTTTGCTTTGTCTATCTTGTCCACTTACTGTTCCAAAGGGATCTCACTCCTTGCACGGGTCTCTTTCCCCTGCTCTCTTGTGCTTCCTTCAGGAACAATGGGATCAGTAGCTTTCAGGAAGTGGAAAAACTGCAGGTTCTTCCCATGCTGCAGGCACTGGTGCTGTTGGACAATCCATGTGCTGATGAACCCAATTACCGGCTGGAGGTCCTTGCCCTACTGCCACACCTGCAACGCCTTGACAAGGAAGTAGTTGAGCAAGATGAGCGGGAAGAGGCGATGAAAATTCGTCAGACAAGGCAGGAAGAAAAAGAAAAGGTGAGAACAACATGGTGGGGGGAAGAAGAAGGAAGTAAAGAGAAAGAAAAAGGATCAAACGTGCTGATGAAGCCTCACCTCCCTCCGGATTATATGAGGAGAAGGGTGAGGGGCATCAGTTCCAAGTGCAGAAGAGTCTGAAAAAGAGACTGGGTTTTGCAACCTGGTTCTGATGGTAGCATGCAGCCCCGCTGTCATTCCCAACCCCACTAGCCAAAGAGGGTGATGAAAGAGGAAAGGAAGTTGGACATGGAGTCATTAACTTCTCCCTCTTCCCTTCTTCAGGAAATGGAAGGATCTCTCAAGGACGATGCGTCTCTTCAGGAAATGGAAGAATCGCAAGAGGATGGTGTGACTGAGTGACCTCTGTTTTTAACACCTGTTCCCAGAGACTGTCAGGATGTGGAGATGCCTTTCCCTGCATGTGCGGGTGGGAACGCAAGAGCTGTAGGTACCAGCTTCACCTCATTTTACCTCTGGACAAAAGAGGAGGGCTCCCCACCCTGGTCCTGGAAGCTGCCCTGAGGCACTGCAGTGTTTTTGCAGTCGCTGCACTGATATGTTCTATTCTTGGTAGGCCCAAGAGGGAAAATGGGAGAGTTATAGGTTCTGTGGTTCGATGTATGGCTCCCAAAAATCCTGCAAGATTTTCTGATTTGAATAAAAATAATTAATGAGCCTGGAGTGACTGGGATTGTTTATCCTGCACACCCACTCCTATTCCCTGGCTCTCTCACCCTAGTCTGTCTACGTCTATCTCTTGCTGCCTGCCTTTCTCTCCCTCTCCATCCCCTACGTGCTGTTTGCAAAGCTTTGCTAAATCCTGACTCATCGCAGCTCTGGGTCACATGCTGCTGTCCCGGCCCTATCAGGGGCGTCTCCATCCTGCTGCTGCTGCCGCCGTTGGCTTAGAGGACACATCATCTCCCCTTGAGGTCCTGCATCCCTCCTCAGCTTCATCCTCTCTCCTTTCAACCAGCACTCTCTCAATCTCTCGTTCACCCCTGCCCTAGGAAGGTAAGTGTCTCCCCACGGCCAGCACCCCCTCACCACATGCATGTTTCTGCTCCCCACCTTGTGCCCTCCAAACCCCACACGCACTTTGGGGTCCCTGCGGAGAAGGACCACGGTGAGCAGCATTAACAACTAAACTCCCCTCACTTCCTCTCCCTGCTCCTCCCACCTATCTCTCCTCATCCACAACCTTCTCACTTTTCTTTCATATTTTAATTCCAGGTACTCCCTCCTTCCCTAGCCCCCCCTTACCCACCCCTCCAGGCAATCATAATTTCAGATGTGAACCTAGGGAATTGCAAGAGGGGGGCAACCAACGAGGATAGGGGGTGCTCCCAAGGGCATTGTCGGGAGGTGCTGCGGGATGGAGCTTTCCCTGGGGGAGGGGGTGATAGTGGGGAGGACGCAAAGCTCAGTCTGGGCACTGCTGGGAAAAGGATCCAGCCTCAGGGCAGACCAACCACCCCCGTCTCCCGATGCGTTGACATAACCACGGGCGCTCCGGGAGAGGGAGGGAGGAGAGGGGGTGTTTTCCTATTTGCACAGCCCCACACCACGCAGGGGAGGGGGGCAGCAGGGAGAGGAGGTGACAGTCAAGCAAGCAATAGCTGCATCAGCCACGACACTGCAGCAGTGCGGGCTTCCTGGGAGCAGTGCCCAGCCCAGGAGAATCGCAGCAGCACACGGGACTGGTGGCGGTGGCTTGGGACGAAGGTCTTCACCGTGCTGGCCCGCCTGGTGGGGAGGGGGAATTGCTGCCAGCACCAGCTACAGCGAGACGCTGCCCTGGTGACAGGCAGTGCCACGGAGCGGTGCCCACGGGAAGGCACTGCAGCAGGACCAGCCTCCCGGGGTGTGCTGCCCAGCCCCTGTCCACGGGGGGATGCGCAGCATCCAGCCTGGCTCCTCTCTCCCCCTGGTTGTGGTCTATGGCCTCCCAGCTATGGGCTCCATCCCAATCCCTTATCCTGGCTTATCCGCCTCTGACCTCCTTTCTGGACAGTGCAGCTGATGCCAGGGATTTCAGGGTGGTTCTTTGCACTGTTCAAAAGAGGGCAAGCTCAGGGGGACACGGGGCAGCAACACAAGTGGAGTAAAGGGTTTAAAGGACTAGAGGGAAAGAGATCATGTGAGTGATGGGGTGGGGCAAGCAAGGCTGGATTTGGCTTGTCGTTTGGCTTCCTCGGAGCTAGCTCCAACAGGAGCAGGTGGATGTGGCCAGAGGGATGTGACCACGGACAACGTGACCACATAAGCAGAAAGGCACTGCATCGGGCACGGGGCTCGCTGTCAAAGCTCACTTTAATTGGGGTACTGTCCCTGTCTACCCCGTGGAGGCTGTTGAGGCATGGCCAGGACACTGCTGCAAAGGAAGCTCGCAGCTGCACGGGCACGGCTCTGGAGGAAGTTCCTGTGGCGTGTGCCAGATGGCGTGAGGAGCACTGCCAAAGCGTCTGATGGGGGATCCCAGCCCAGATGGACATGGTGGAGGGCCATGTGCAGGCTCCAGAGAACCCTGGAGTCGCTAACTGAAACTCCCAAATACGGGAAGCTCTGGCTGAAACTTCAGAGCAGCAGCACGATTTCCTCACACCCCTGTGATTTCCACCCACCCGGGGCAGTGGGGTCGAGCGCTGACTCTGGCCTCCCCCAGCCTGCTTCTTAGCTCCCCCTAGTGCTGTGATGTGCTATTTCCAGCTTATCCCACCCCACCCTGCGCTGAGCCCCTGTTCTGGCTGTGCCCCTGCTCACACACACCACGGGGAGGTCCTGGCTGGGGCCCCGTGGTTACTCCGGCCTCTGCTAGCCATGCTCGGGGTTCTCTGAATCATCTGTGGGAGCCGGGGGAGGAAAACCTGAGAGGGCTGGGGGCGTGGGGGAACACACACCTTGCTGCAGCACCCTGGCACTGCACAGCCCCACAGCCAGGAGAATGAGAAGGTGGAATAGTGGTAATGAGATGGTTTGGACCCCCCAGGGAGCAAACTGCAGCAAGAGAAGCTCTTTCAAACAGCCATCATCACCCACCAGCTTGTTTTCTACTTCAGATTTAACCAGATGCCCCAAAACGCCATGCTTCCTCCCCTTCCTCATCCAACAGATACCTCCCAGTCTCATCCACTTCACTGTCTCAGGAACAGAGTGAAGGTTTGGCATCTGGGCCAGGTGTCTTCTCCTTCAGAGCTCTCTCTACCACGTCTGAGGCACCGTGGCCTTCAGCAGGATGTCTCCTCAGGCTGCTGGCCTCCATGCTCCCGTCGCCTCAGCACAGCCTGACCTGGCGGCTCACGGAGGAGACAGGAAGGCTGAGCCGGGTGCTCAGCAGGGGCAACGTGGATGGGAGTCTGTGAGAGCCAGACTGGGGCAGCTCCCCCGCCACGGACCCGAGGGTCCCCACAGGTTGGCTGCCCCCCTGCCCTGCCCATCGCTCTTGGCTGGCTCACTGCACAGGGACACAGCAGCCACTTGCTGCCTGGCCCTGGAAAGCACTGTCCTCACCTCGCGGCAAGGGGACAGGAGATGCCAGGAGCTAGTACCCTGTCCTTGACGCCAGAGCCAGGGGCACCTCCCCGCTGCGCCAGCTGATCCCTCCCTCTCTGCTGTCCGTGGATGCTGTGGCACCCTCCCCAACCCTGCCAGCCGGGCTCGTATCAGGCGCTCTGCCGTGACGCAGGGAGAGAGGGAGAGAGTACTCCCAGTTTGTCATCTGCAGCAAAGACACAGAGTAAATTCAAATAGATACCCTGTTCCTGGGCAAAACAGATTATGGGTAGATTCCCACAGTCTGGGTGAATTTCTACATTTTCTGGGGCCAGTAGTTTTAGCCCCAACTCACAAGATCACGTTTCCTTCAGCTCCCTTCTCTCTGTCAATGTCTAGACACAGAAGGGTGAGCACCACATCCTGGGGCCTCTCAGGGTTGAACGTGTCCTGTTGTCTCCTCTCCACAGACTCACTATGGCAGTCGAGAGGATCCATGCCCGGGAGATCCTGGACTCCCGTGGGAATCCCACCGTTGAGGTGGACTTGTACACACACAAAGGTATGTGGGGAGGATAAGAGATGGAGGGAAAGCCCTGCCCACCCTTGCAGAGCTGCCACTGTGCAGTAGCCTGGCATGCTCTGCTGAGAGCATGGAGGGTCTTCACCAGCAAACCCCCAGCAGACAACAAGCCAGGGGAAGAGGCAAAGACCAAAACTCTGCTTGTGTCTTTGCTTGTGCTTGTGCTCAGCAACTCTGCACTTGTGCTGGGCAAATCATGACAAGACAGATGGGATTTGACTGCTGTGTATGTGACTTGAGCCATGCACCTGCTGGTAGTAGGGACGGAAGGTTCTGTTAACATAAATATATGCACCTTCTTGTCACATCCCTGTGATGCCCTGCTGCAGCTATGCTTTTAGTCTTGGGACACAGTATGAGTTTGGTAACACATCCATAGCCATGCTCATGGCAGGGGTAAAGGTATTTGATCCTCACATCTCTGTGCAGGCATGTCTGTCAGAACTGGAAGACCTGCATCGATGCTGGGCCCAAAATTGTGTGAACTGATGGGTGAGGAGCAGGCAACAAACCATTCTCTTCCTTCTCTAGTGAGGCAGAAACCCAATCCCAGTGTGAGGGGGAGAAGTTGCTGGTGGCTGTGGTTCAGGCTGCCTCTGGAATCAGGAGGAAGGCTGAGGAACCAGACTTCCACTCATCATCTGCAGTTCTGGGATCAATGTGGACCTCTGGGTGCCTGAGATCCAGGTTCCTCAGTCTGGAAGCCCTGGGTGCATTTATTTCTGCCACTGAGGTGTTCCACCTCTGAGAAGAACAGCCAGGAGCAGCCAGCCAGCAGGGCCATCCATTTTCACAAGCAGTTGCTACCTTCTTTCCCATGAAAGCAGAGCAGAAGCAGGTGCATGAGGGTTTTTCCTCTTCACCCTCTGTTCGTCTCATGCTCCTGTTTTGCTGTTTCCCAGGCATGTTTCGAGCAGCAGTCCCCAGCGGCGCATCCACTGGTATCTACGAAGCGCTGGAGCTGAGAGACAATGACAAGTCACGTTTCCTTGGAAAAGGTGGGGAGATGCCTGCTGCACACACTGTCCTTGGGGCTGCCTGTGCGTGGGGCTCTGCAGGAGGGTCCTGCTCATCCACTGGTGTGATGCGGATGTGTCCCACTGCCCTCAGAGAGACCACAAAGGCACAGACCTAGCATAAAGTGAAAGATCAGGCCTCGATCTTCCCTTGCTGTCTCCCTCTCTCAGTCTCTCTATTGGTCCTCTCCCTCCCTCTTTCCACTCTCCTCTTTGCCTCACCCTCTCTCTCTCTCTCTCTCTCTTTCTTTCTCTGTCTCTTCCCTTCTTTAGGGGTCCTGCAGGCCGTGGATCATATCAACAGCACTGTCGCCCCAGCTCTCGTGGGCTCTGTAAGGATTTCTCTTTGTTCTCCCTTATCCAACGCTTACTCTGGTCCGTCTCCGTCCCCCGATCTCTGTCTCTGCCTCTCTTCATTTCACTGGGTTAACAGACATAGTGATGCTCTCTGTGAACCGTGGGCACACCCCTCCTGCCCTCCATGCCTGTATGTGTCCACAGCAATCTTTTCTCTGGGAGGAAAGGATTTAACGCTACCTGGTCCACCGCAGCATCTGTACAGCCTAACTAGTCCCCTCAGTGCTCCCTGT